TGGCGCATGCTGGCCGCCTTCGGCCTCGGAGCGGTGGTCATGCGTGGAGCTGGCTGCACGATCAATGACATGTGGGATCGCAACTATGACAGACAGGTGGAGAAAGCCCCGTGGGCTTGCAAAGACCTAGGGAAGTGAATTGTTGGTTAATTAACCAAGTACCTGTGCAACATCACCAGTGAGTGATTCCTTGCTGAGTGCAGGTGTAGGGCTCCAAGTTCATAAATTCCCCCGTGTTTCTATTTGAGATGTGTGTAGTTAATTTGTCTACGTTTCCTCCTAGAATAGTAGAAATCACTTTATTTTGTATAACATTTCTCTGTCTGGGACTGTAATAAGTCTTCTGCAGTACTTACCTCTGTGCAAGGTAAAGTATATGTTGCTGTCAGCTGTAGGTAGTACTTGAACAACTTTATTTTTCAACTTTGTTTTGCATGACAGAACAAAGTAACACTTTCTTGCTACACTTGCTAGTTATGATTGTCCTGGTTTCAGCTGGGATAGAGGCAGGGTTTCCTTGAGTATTGTTAATTTCTTCATGAGAATGGCTGGCAAGAGTATCATGCCCAACCCTGAGCTAATCCTCTTCTGTTATGTTGTATTTTTCATCTTTGTTCAGTAGAGGGAAATAAGCAAAAGGCAGTGGCCAGTGTCAGATGTTGAAATGTGCACAGGTGCAGGCTTGGAGGGGAGTATCCTGGCAACGAGTCACTGTTTGCTTGTCCTGTTTTCTGTTCCTATATTGTTCTTCCAGTTTTGGGTTTCGGCGCTGGCAAGAGACAGGATAGTGAGCCAATCTGATGTGAAGTTCTTACAGCACTGTTGTATTTGTGCTGTTGGGAAGGCAACGAATCAGTACAAGTTTTGTGGCAGCTTTGGATGGTTTAGGGTTCAGAGGTTATTGAGAACTACATAAGCTAAAGATATTTGACAGGATGGGGTGTGTGGTTAAGTAAGATGGAATTTTCAATATAATGAATGCATTTACGCATTAATGCGATGTGGTTAGATGTAAAGTTTTAAAAATTCCCATCACAGTTCTTTCTTACATACCTTAAAAGGATGTCTTCAAAACAAGTGCGATAGAGGCCAGGTCAATAGCAGGATTCTGACTTGTGTTGGTGATGGTGGGTTGGGGTTTTAGATTTTATGTTATTGATTATTTGGTAAGTCTTTTATTTTCTTTAAATGAAATATCCCATGTTTGGTTACGATGTGCAGTGGAATTGGTCACAAATATGTTAAGCGCATGCTTAAACTGCAAAAGCAGTATTTGACATTTAACATAACCTGACTGGGGGGGACACACGCCAAACTGAAAGATTTTACTTAAATTCACATTCTTAAAGCCTATGCAGAACACTTTATACGTACATAGTATTCTGTAAAAAGTTGGCTTTTGAACCTCTTTGAAGAGACATTACACCATTTTCATCAGCATGCAAAACTTTTGTCCTTTGTTTTTTGGGGTTTTTTTTTTGGCAGTGGTCACCTTTGGCAAGTAACTCACCATATGTTTCAGTTTAACTTTTTTCTGATATTTGTTTCTTCCTTCAGTTTGCCTTGTATGATTTCTTGTTCCAGAGTTTCTAAACTCCATTGTATCCCGACTAGGATTAAATTAATTGTCTTCACTGTTACTAACAATGGTTATGTGTGCTAGAGGAGCCCTGCATCTTTACGATATTTTACATAGTAATCACTTGAAAGCATTTAAGCACAGAACTGCTCTCGAAATTGGGATAGTTAGCTCACAACTTTTTAAGTCTGATTTTTTTTCCCCTTAAGGCAATAAAGTTCATACACAAGATGTCTACAGTGTTTCTAATCGGCTTCATAGCACACAAGTGGCACTTTATTTCTGCTCTAGTTTTTAAAGCCTGCATGCTTCTACTATAAGCGCTGCTGCTTAGAAATACAGCTCATGTCCATGATGATACACTAGGTTTGTATCATTGAAGGAACTCCGTCTCATACATTCTGCGACCTGTTTCTGTTTATTTTTCCATTTATATGCCAATGGTGTGACTTCTAATTTTAAGATTCATTGGAATGTGTTATGTTGGATTTGGTATTAATGTTGTTCTTTCCATTTTTAGGTTGTGAGGACAGCAAATAGGCCCCTGGCAGCTGGAGATATCTCCATTTTTCAGTCCTTCGTTTTTCTTGGAGGACAGCTTAGCTTGGGGCTTTGTATGCTTCTATGTCTGAATCACTATAGGTGACGTATAAGTTAACTTTTTTCTTTAAAAATTTGATTCCGGGTCCAGAGTTAAGCACAGAGATTTTCAGCAAAAAAGCTGTTGAGGGCAGAGGGAGGAGGTTATTAGTCATGGAATTGTATTTGAAAGTAAAAGAATTAGTTCAGTACTATGTACAGCTCCTGTAATGCTGTGCTATGTCTTGTGATCTTTAGACTGGCAAACAATAAACCTCTTGGTACTTTTTACAGTATCGTTCTGGGAGCGGCCTCTTTGCCTCTTGTGATCACCTACCCTCTGATGAAGAGAATAACATACTGGCCACAGTTATTTTTGGGTGAGCTGGAAATATTTTTACTACTTCTTTCTTCAGATGTAGTTTTTGGGGTGTTTTACAAATTAGTAATTGAACTTTAGCAATCTGATTTTTTATAACTTTATGTTAAAATAAAAATACCTTATAGACAAAGTTCTGTTGTGCCAGAAGCTTCTTAAACAGTTTATAACAGTTGGTCTCTTCTCCCAAGTACCTAGCAATAGGATGAGAGGAAATGGCTTCAAGTTGTATCAGGGGAAGTTTAGATTGGATATTAGGAAAAATTTCTTTACCAAAAGAGTGGTCAAGCGTTGGAACAGGCTGCCCAGAGAGGTGGTGGAGTCACCATCCCTGGAGGCGTTCAAAAAATGGGTAGATGTGGCACTTTGGGACATGGTTTAGTAGGCATGGTGGTGTTGGGTTGACAGACTAGGTGATCTTAGAGGTCTTTTCCAACCTTAATGATTCTGTTCTATTCTATAACACATATAAAAGTTGATGCTTGGGTTTCGTTTTTTTTTTTTTGTTAAAAATCAGTTTCTTATTTTGACAGAGTGAGGGGAGGGAGAAAGGGAGGGAGAAAATAAATCTTTGTCATTTGAGAATCAGCTTTAGTTTCAGGGTTATCTGGAAACCTTCCTTAAACATGCATTTGTCCTGCATTTCAGTCTTCATCCTCTAAAATAACTCCTGTGCAGAAACTGATGGTGCTCATATTTCGGGTTGAGCTACTAAAACATATCCTTGTATCTTGGCCTTCACATTCCAGCTGCCTTCAGCTTTTTCAGCCAAAATTGTCATTGTCAGCCTTGAAGTACCATAGGTGGCTGCTGTGCACTCTTTTGCAGTCAGATATACTGACATCTTTTGTTATACTGACATCTAAGTGTTTAACTTTAGACCCGTTGTTTGAGTACACTGGAAGAGTTCTGTGCAAATGTTTCCCTATGCTAATGAAGTCAAATTTAAGTTGGTGAAAAATGTGTGGCTGTACGTATTTCTCCTTGTATGTTCAGTGTATTTAATCTCAAATTATTTATATTTATTAACTGACTGAAAATAAGTGGCAGAAAAATAGACATCCCAGTATTGTACAAAAAGCTGCTGATAAGATACACACTCGGAACAAATAATATTTCATTCTGTACATGTAATTTAGATTGCTCCTAGAAATCTTACAACTTTTTTTTTCTTTTTTATATTCTCTTTATGTTTTTAGGAATGACATTTAATTGGGGAGCGCTTCTTGGCTGGTCTGCTATCAAAGGGTCATGCGAGTGGTCTGTGTGTTTGCCCTTGTACTTCGCTGGAATAATGTGGACACTGATATACGATACCATTTACGCACATCAGGTAGAGTAACAGTGGGAAATTTCAGATGTCTGTGTATGTTTGTGTGTTTAATTTACAACTTTGTTGTCAAACAGCAGTACTAACCTGTTGCGGTTCTTCACTTTCAGCTGAGCTAAAACAGCAGCAAAGAAACCCCAGCCCTTGGACCATTTATTGCTGTTTGCAAATGTTTTACATATCGGGTAGAAAGCTGTTAAGTATAATGCAGTTCATAGAATCATATAATCATTTAGGTTGGAAAAAACCTTTAAGATCATCCAGTCCAACCATTAACCTAACATTACCAAGTCCACCACTAAACCAATTAAAGGTAGAGTAATAATTTCATGTTTCCTGCCTTGGTGGCTGGATTATTTTTTAATGAAAGTAAAAACTAGGCATCCTTAAGGTTGGAAAGGATCTCTACGATCATCAGTCCAACCATCAACCCAACACCACCATGCCTACTAAGCCATGTCCCAAAGTGCCACATCTGCACGGTTTTTTTTGAACACCTTGAGGGATAGTGACTTCACCACCTCTCTGGGCAGCCTGTTCCAGTGCTCTAAAATGAAGAAGTTTTTCCTAATGTCCAATCTAAATCTCCCCTGATGCAGCTTGAGCCCATTTCCTCTTGTCCTATTGCAAGTTACTTGGGAGAAGAGACCGACACACACCTCACTACAACCTCCTTTCAGGCAGTTGTAGAGAGCGATAAGGTCTCCCCTCAGCCTCCCCTTCTCCAGACTAAACAATCCCAGTTCCCTCAGCTGCTCCTCATAAGACCTGTGCTCCAGACCCTTCATCAGCTTTGTTGCTCTTCTCTGGACACACTCCAGCAACTCAATGTCCTTCTTGTACTGAGGGACCCAAAACTGGACACAGTATTCCAGGTGCAGCCTCACCAGTGCCGAGTACAGGGGGACGACCACTTCCCTGCTCCTGGTGGCCACGCTATGTCTGATTCAAGCCAGGATGCTGTTGGCCTTCTTGGCCACCTGGCCATGCTGCCGGCTCATGTTCAACTGGCTGTCTACCAACACCCCCAGGTCCTTTTTGGCCAGGCAGCTTTCCAGCCACTCTTCCCCCAGCCTGTAGCGTTGCATGGGGTTGTTGTGACCCAAGTGCAGGACCCGGCACTTGGCCTTGTTGAACCTCATACAATTGGCCTCAGCC